GAATGCGTTTGGGTTAATTTACTTTCCTGTAAGCAGCTACGGTAGTCTCGAGGAGCCTAGCCATCAGCCAGATAAGAATTAGAGTATTGTCTGTCGTAATTAACGGTCAGTGGGCCGGGTAATTGACGTGTTTCAGGAAGTCAAAGTAATTAATCTCGATCCTTGTTTGATCGACTCACACGAAGGCTACATTGTTCCATTAACGTAACGTCGTTATCTACCCGGAAGTACCGGCACTTGATTGACTCGTGAGAGGAGTAGCGTCATTTTAGAATAACGTAAACGTGGGGCTAATTACTGTTATTAGTCGCCTGAATTGGTCTGAGTATGGAAGGCTTAGACGGAATTCATACCTTAATGTAAATTGCTGAGCCAGTGTGAAAGGTTGCGTATTTTAATTGTTTAATTATTGATCTTGAGGATAGTAATTAATTACTCTAAAGGTAATCACGAGTGATTACCGTTCTCTTAGCACTTTGGACATTGCAAATCAGAGTTTACCATCGCTGAGTGATTAGTAACCGATTAACGTAAATTAACGTAACTAGTAAAGAGATTAATCAGCTGTCTGGAAGTACAGGGATTAATGGGATTTTCTCACTGAATGCTCGACGGGTAGAGTGTTGTTTGATTTCCGCGTTACTAGTGACAGTTGTAAGAGTTGTTAATTTAACGTAAATGTTACCTTGTAATTAACGTAAATGTTATTGTGTTATTAACGTAAATCAATTGTTACTGATTGTTGATCGTCCGTGGGGCGTAGTGTTAACGTAAGGATTAATTTGAGGAAGGGTGCTGGAGTTGCCAGTGAACCCATTAGTTATTGTTGTCATTGAAAGACTACTGATTTGATTGCATTGCAACCGCTGTTGCAGGAGTAGACTGCACTGAGGCGTAGAACAGTTAGGAGGTTACTGGAGACGTATTTCAGAACCCACTGTGTCATTTGTTGTAATTGTGATTATAGATCTGTTAGTTCTTGCTTGCTTGTTGATTCCTCTGTGGTCACGCTTATGTTCGAGTTAGTTCATTATGCAGTCCGAGGGGCTGGTGTCTAGCTGTCATTGATAGTGTCACAGGAAGGATTTCGAGTAACGTCATTGACATTTCTTTTGTTTTGTTGTAGTAGTTAGTACTTTATTGAATAAACTAAGTTGTTATGGTTAACACTGTCTTTTCGTTACACCCCCACACATTATTATTGTTATGTAAATGTTCTTCACACTCGACTGAAATTGAGACTCACTTTCTGAGCTTTGGATCAAATATACGGCACCACACAACAATAAATTATTGTTGTGAGAGCCCGTGACCTACTCGTTAGATTCGCTTCGGCGATTGGCGAAGGTCGGCGGCCTAAGTGGGGGGGATTTCAATTTTCATTGGGGTCTCGGCGTTTGCTCGCGCCTAGTCAATTGTTCATACATGGTCCCAAAGTGAGGAATGAGCTGGTTACTACACTGGTGTGTTAGCTAAGCAAGTCCTTCCTCAGGCGACCTAGTTGAATATCACGACAGGAATAAAGGTTAAAGAATAAAGAAAGTTCTTAGAAATTTTCCGAGCTAAAATTCCTTATACCAATTTTAATTTATTCCAAAACTTCTCACAAGTTAAAAAATAAACAAACTCTCACAGCGTGGCGCCCAACGTGGGGCCGTAGACTTTTGATTCATAATCAGAAAAGTAAGACTCATCAAGTTGTGAAACCTGTGAAGAAAGGTGTGCAGAACATTGCAGAACAATATTGCTGTGGATGTGTATGTTGTCGGTTAGCAGGATTAGGTACACACACACCACACACACAGAATGGATGAGGATTATAGAAAGAAGTACGTATATCTGTATGTGACTAAGTATGGCGTGCTGCCAAAGGATAGAAACAGTCGTGCAGATGAGGAATGTAGGCGGTATGTTGAGGACCATAATGCCTATGTACGGCGTCTATGTCTAGAAAGAGCAAACAGAAGTGATCTAGGGGACAAGGGAGTTCCCCTAGCCGACCGTGGTATAGTCGGTATGTCAGGGGGTGTGGGATTGAGTCCACCCCAGGAGAAGGAAGGGGAGTCGCGACCCCAGCCTAGGCTAAGGACTGATTCCTTGGGCCACAGAAACGTTTCATTGGAAGTAGTCAATCAGATACCAGAACAACCTCTCAGGAGGGGGACTGAACAACCCCAGGAGGAAATTACTTTAGAGTACCTAGCAGCTCAAGCTGATGCTATGAAACTGCAAAGAGAGGATAAGGCCAAATTTGTGGCTTACATGTGGAATGCCCACCACGAGAGATTGACTAGATTGGAAATTGCAAGAGTGCAATCCGAGGCAAGGACGGGGAGTCAAGCCCCTCCTGCCGCGCCAAGCTCAGAGGTACAGGCGCTGGAAGTAGAGATACCTCCTCTATTGCCAAGAGAGGAGAAGATCGATCCTAGGGATGCATACCTAGATCGATGTGTGACAAAGGTTGAAAGGTTTACTCAAGCTCCAAGTAAGGGAGCCAAACCTAAGGGAAGTAAGTCTAAGGGACACCAACAGAAACCCAAGGTTAAGGGACCCAGGTGCTTCACATGCAACATGGCAGGTCACCGAGCAGCTAAGTGCCCGAGCAGCACTAGGCTTAAGACTAAGAAGGTGACCAAGGTGCAAGTTACAGGCATGAGTACCGTGGGAGGTGATGCCCTAAGAGACACACTCGAGTTAACTAGAGGAAGAGTTAATGGGCAATGGACGAGTGTCTTTCGAGACCGGGGTGCTACAGTTAACATGGTCAGGAGCAGTTTGGTTGAGCCTGAGAGTAGAACAGGTCGAACCCTCCATGTCCAGTACCCAGATGGCACTGGTAAGGACATGGAAGAAGTGTCCGTGTTGGTAGACACCCCATATATCAAAGGTAAGATCAAAGCTGCGCTAAGTAGAAAGGCAGTGTATGGACTTTTGATAGGTAATACTCCTGGTATAGAGAACCAGGTGGGTCTGTCCTGTGGAAATGACCCAGAGGAAACAGGAACAGGTGAGAGGAAGGTTAAACCCGCTGGCGTTGACACCAAGCGTCAGCCGGCTGGTCGAGCAGAGATCACCGCCGCCCAGACAGAAGAAGAGGCGCAGCAGGTGAAAGGAAACCGGAGCCATCCTCCTCTCCCTATTGCACAGAAAACGAGAACTGATTCAGAGGGACTCAGATGGGTCTCACCAGCTGACGGCGATGTCACACGGCCGCCAGCTGAGGAAGTCAAGGTCGCCTCTTATCAGGCGAAAGATCAGGTGCATGAGGTAAAAGGAAAAAAGAGCAATTTTCCTTCTTTCATTTCACAGAAAACGGAGGTGAGCCCAGTGAGACGGGTGTGGCCCGGATCAGGTGATCCCGCCACAACCTGTCGACCCGCCAGGCCCGCGAGGGTTAACACCACTCAGGAGAGTAAACGTCTGCTTGATGTTACCAGTGGTGAGGCTAAGGTAGCTGTGGTTCCCACAAGTGAAGTGGAGATTATGGACCAATCTTTCAGGCTGTTGGAAGATCGTTCAGACAAACGAACGGTCGCTGAGAGATTGATGAACGAGCAGGTCAGTGACCAAGTGCTCAGTGAGGGGCGAGGTTTGACAGCTGCTGAAGAGGCCTCAGCCCGGTCAACTCAGTCGGTAGAGCAACCCGGTCTGAGAGTGACAGACAGACAGGAAGAAAGACCCTGTCACCGGGAAGTCAAGACAGTCTGCTAACTGTCGGGATTGTGTCGGTAGGGTAGGGAAGGTGTTGAGTCTGTACTTCATTGGTAAGTCCATCCCAGTGTGCTACCTATTGTGTCCAGTATGACACAGACCTGTGGGGCGAGAGTGTGAAGGGACTGAGGAAGGGAAGCTGCGAGGCGTTGAGCCGGCTTAACCTGGACCCAGAACCTGAGCACGACCGCACTATGGTCAGGAAGTACCACCCTGGACGAGCCAGTGACGTCACATCTTGTCCCGCCAGCCACCGACGTCAACAGAAAACGGATGAATCACCACCACCACCCAGCCGCCGAGCACTTAAGAGCCAAGTGTAAGTGGCTGGTGATTTTTAGATGAAATTTTCCTCCGGGAAATTTTATCTTTTTGGTGGGGAGTTATGTGAGGGGGTGGTTCACCAGCTCACTTACAATAGTGCTCTTATGCCTGTGGGAGCCAGTACACTTGTTAAGTGCACTTGTTAAGTGGGCGGACTTACGTTTTGTACCAGCAACCGAAACATCTAGTGTTTGGGCTCATGTGAGAGCCCCAGTCATCAGCAGTCCATAAATGTTACCCTGGCCGGGGTGGCATGTCTGTGGACAGTGCTAGAGCTGATAGCATCATCTCATTGTATGGCATGGAGCCAGACAACTTTGCGCGCGAACGCCTAGGCCGCAGGCGTGGGGTAGACATGTGGGGTCCCACGCTCGCTGGCCACTTGAGTGGTTGTCATGGAGACAGCCGCCATCTTAGTAAACATCTTGAGCCGCCATGTTGGTCGGCCATCTTGGAGCTGCCCTAGGGGCTATGCTACACCGTCGCTGATTGGATGAGAGGGGTAGGCCGCTGTATGCCTTCCTCTCATTGGTTATTTCGAGAAGGACGCGGGAAGAGCCGGTGTGAGCATCATTCTGAACTCAGCCGCCACCTTGTCAAGACGTTCCTGTACTCAATTCGGCCAAATTGATGTATAGGGCGTCGTGGTGGCTGGACTACAACTGCTGATGCTTCCTGCTTCACCTACGACATCGGTCGTCACAGAATCCGGCCGAAGTCGTCGCTTGGAGGGGTTTAAGACATTATTGTATGCAGGGGGTAGAGGTACAGTGATCTGGGATCGTGGGGGAATGTGCATACGAGCAGCAACAGACTCGTAGATCCCATACCAGTGATGATTAGACTTGCTAGTGCTCTGTAGCAGTCGATGGGAACGGGGAAATTCGTGTCAGTGTTAAGGCAATTTCCCGTGTTTGTACTACGGTCAGGAACTGCCGCCGCCTACGCCACCCGGAGCGAGCCAGCCACCTATAGCGGGGTGCCTGATGTATGGGAATGGTGTGTAAAGCCGGCAGTGTGAATGAGTAAGTACCTATATGTGTGTATTTCGGTGATTAGTAGTCTCTAAAGCTTGAATTCGAGGTCAAGTGTTCCGTCACATTGTCACGCAGCACCTGTTCAGGTGGAGTGAATTGTGGGCGAGGAGATTAATCACCTGTGTTGTCATCTTGTCAGTCCAGAGGGACTTAAGTGTACACAGACGTACAGTGTGTGTGTGTGTGTGTGGGTACACACGGGAACACAGAATATACATAGATTAGCCAAGGACGGAGAGGATGTCCATGTAATAAATTCTTTTATTTCATTGTGGTAATCATTTTTGATCGTCCGTGGGACGGAGTGATATCATTTCCATGTGTGGTCTTGCAGGTGTGGAATTCCAACACTGAGCGCTCAGGTATGTGTAACGCCAGTGATTCCTGGCAATGATTATTGTGGAGTGTGCCACAGTGTGGCTTAAATTTCTTGTAGTGTTCCCAGGGCCGTGACAAGTGTGATTTATATAAATATATATATTGTGGTTGCAGTATTAATTAACGTAATTTTGGTGAGGTTTGGTGAGTGACGAGGCCGTCTAGAGAGACCGCCCCCGCTCTGTCGAGTAACGTAACTCTCGAGTGTTTATCGGCATGCGTGACCGATAAATCACTCACCCATGTGATTTAAGGAGTGTGAGATTCTCCTTAGTGTTCCCAATAACGTTTGATAGCTGTAGGCTACATGTGTCAGCGGTAATTATATATATATATATATAATCGTAGTGTCACGGTGCCCAGTGTTATTGTGTTATTTACTGTGTGGTGATTGCAATATAGTGACCTATGTTCTAGGGGTCATTTGCAGCAGTAAGTAAGTAAGTGTGTGCAGTATCCTAATATTTGGAAATTGGAGTACTTGCCGTGTGTGTTATTGCAAAGGGGGTTGTTATTTGATGGTGATTATTGCTAGTGTTGAGCAATCACCGTATGTGATTGCAGTTCAGTAAAACCATTGTGGGGCAGTGTTCTAGAGGGTTCATGTCCTGTATGTTATTTTGCTAGATTCTGCAGTATTGTCATTGCAACCGGATTGTAACGTAAATCACTGTGATTTGTTAGTGTGATTTGTCATTGTCGTGGGTGAACTCGGCTGTAGACGAGTACTTGGATATACATATATTCTCCTGGTTATCTGGTAGGACATCGAAGTCCAGTATTCAGTGAGGTGATTGCGAGGCAATTAATATAACGTAACCAAGGGAACGCCCATTGCTTTAAGAGAATTTGTTCTTTGACAATTTGAGTAACGTAGAATGCGTTTGGGTTAATTTACTTTCCTGTAAGCAGCTACGGTAGTCTCGAGGAGCCTAGCCATCAGCCAGATAAGAATTAGAGTATTGTCTGTCGTAATTAACGGTCAGTGGGCCGGGTAATTGACGTGTTTCAGGAAGTCAAAGTAATTAATCTCGATCCTTGTTTGATCGACTCACACGAAGGCTACATTGTTCCATTAACGTAACGTCGTTATCTACCCGGAAGTACCGGCACTTGATTGACTCGTGAGAGGAGTAGCGTCATTTTAGAATAACGTAAACGTGGGGCTAATTACTGTTATTAGTCGCCTGAATTGGTCTGAGTATGGAAGGCTTAGACGGAATTCATACCTTAATGTAAATTGCTGAGCCAGTGTGAAAGGTTGCGTATTTTAATTGTTTAATTATTGATCTTGAGGATAGTAATTAATTACTCTAAAGGTAATCACGAGTGATTACCGTTCTCTTAGCACTTTGGACATTGCAAATCAGAGTTTACCATCGCTGAGTGATTAGTAACCGATTAACGTAAATTAACGTAACTAGTAAAGAGATTAATCAGCTGTCTGGAAGTACAGGGATTAATGGGATTTTCTCACTGAATGCTCGACGGGTAGAGTGTTGTTTGATTTCCGCGTTACTAGTGACAGTTGTAAGAGTTGTTAATTTAACGTAAATGTTACCTTGTAATTAACGTAAATGTTATTGTGTTATTAACGTAAATCAATTGTTACTGATTGTTGATCGTCCGTGGGGCGTAGTGTTAACGTAAGGATTAATTTGAGGAAGGGTGCTGGAGTTGCCAGTGAACCCATTAGTTATTGTTGTCATTGAAAGACTACTGATTTGATTGCATTGCAACCGCTGTTGCAGGAGTAGACTGCACTGAGGCGTAGAACAGTTAGGAGGTTACTGGAGACGTATTTCAGAACCCACTGTGTCATTTGTTGTAATTGTGATTATAGATCTGTTAGTTCTTGCTTGCTTGTTGATTCCTCTGTGGTCACGCTTATGTTCGAGTTAGTTCATTATGCAGTCCGAGGGGCTGGTGTCTAGCTGTCATTGATAGTGTCACAGGAAGGATTTCGAGTAACGTCATTGACATTTCTTTTGTTTTGTTGTAGTAGTTAGTACTTTATTGAATAAACTAAGTTGTTATGGTTAACACTGTCTTTTCGTTACACCCCCACACATTATTATTGTTATGTAAATGTTCTTCACACTCGACTGAAATTGAGACTCACTTTCTGAGCTTTGGATCAAATATACGGCACCACACAACAATAAATTATTGTTGTGAGAGCCCGTGACCTACTCGTTAGATTCGCTTCGGCGATTGGCGAAGGTCGGCGGCCTAAGTGGGGGGGATTTCAATTTTCATTGGGGTCTCGGCGTTTGCTCGCGCCTAGTCAATTGTTCATACATGGTCCCAAAGTGAGGAATGAGCTGGTTACTACACTGGTGTGTTAGCTAAGCAAGTCCTTCCTCAGGCGACCTAGTTGAATATCACGACAGGAATAAAGGTTAAAGAATAAAGAAAGTTCTTAGAAATTTTCCGAGCTAAAATTCCTTATACCAATTTTAATTTATTCCAAAACTTCTCACAAGTTAAAAAATAAACAAACTCTCACAGTCAGGATTGGCATTACAGTTCAGCGTTTTATATATGTATAATACACAAGAGAGAATGTGCAGTGACTTAATATCTAACATATTCAGAGATTTGAGTATGTACTTTACCTGAATAAATATTTGTACTCACCTAGTTGTGTTTGCGGGGGTTGAGCTCTGGCTCTTTGGTCCCGCCTCTCAACTGTCAATCAACTGGTGTACAGATTCCTGAGCCTACTGGGCTCTATCATATCTACATTTAAAACTGTGTATGGAGTCAGCCTCCACCACATCACTTCCTAGTGCATTCCATTTACTAACTACTCTGACACTGAAAAAGTTCTTTCTAATGTCTCTGTGGCTCATTTGGGTACTCAGCTTTATTTGTATATAGGTGGTACCACCTCTGATGATATTTGTAGGGACCTTCGACGTCGAAGAAGATATGTAGCATCCAGGGGAGCCTTGTGGGGCACCCACATACATATTGTCTTCTCATACCACCCTCCATATATTGTATATTTTGTTATTTTATTTTATATAAAATGTCATCTTATCTTGAGATGATTTTCAGGCTTAGAGTCCCCGCGGCCTGGTCCGCGACTAGGCCCCCTTTTTGTTACACACCCCCAGGAAACAACCCGTAGCAGCTGAATTAATTCCCAGGTACCTATTTACTCCTAGGTAAACACGAGCATCAGGGTCAAAGAAACCCTGCTCATTTGTTTCCGCCTCTGATGGGGGATCGATCCCGGAACCTTAGGACTATGAGTCCCGAGCGCTGTCCACTCAGCTGTCAGGCCTCCCCTCAGCCATTAGGCAGGTCATTACACAAAATGGATTACAACATTGCAAGATACCTATGTATTTGTATATTTTATGTAAAGATTTATAGCAAGTCTTTCACACTCTCCTGAGAACTTTATCAAGGTCTGAGCATATGGTTAGCAAAAGCCTTACATCTCGACAACAAATACCACCAAGTATTAGTCATTGAGAGGTAAGTCTTGTCCTAATCATATGCTCAGACCTTGACAAAGCACTAAGGAGAGTGTGAAAGACTTGGTGCAAATCTTTACATAAAAATACACAAATACATAAGTGTGGAGTTTTACTCTATGTTATTTTGTCTGGGAGAAGACATTACCATTAATAATTTTGGTGTTTTACATTCTCTGAAAGCAATTGATTCTCCTGGGACAGAATGTACAACCTAGTGGGTTTTCTTCTTGTTGGTAGTTGATATACATGCTGCTTTGGCAGTATGTTCACTCACAGGATGAGTGACTCCCAATAAACTCACCCTTCGGGGCAAAATTTATTAATTCTGTAGTGTGCAGCCATCCGTAAAATATCTGGGATGTTTTACTGGGGTCTTGACCTTCCACCATCAGTGTCTCTTGTATAAGAACATGTTGTTGATTTAAGGGAGGTGACGTTATTAGACGTATGCACCCTGGTATAGTAGTAGTGGGCATGAATCAGTCTCAGGAGACTATGGAGTTGCACTCTGATTATCAGTCTGGAGTGGCCTCTCCAGGGCACAAAGCCAGGGTAGGCTGATATGGGGGGGAGAAGATGACACCCATGCAGCAGATCTTCCTCTCTCCACAGCACCAAAAGTCTCCAATGGAAAGGCAAATGCCATTACGATTGGTTTCAGCACTGTTGCAGGAATTGTCAGAATGATGTTGAAGGCAACAACGAACTACCCTAGGGGCTCCAGCTCCGGAGTTTACTTCGAAGTGGTAAAAGAAGGCACAGGGACCCCAAACCTGGAGACCGTCATGGTCGGGGCCATAGAAGAACCACCCCAGCAAGGGCAAGAATGACCCCAGCCTTCTGAAGTAGAGCTTGGGCTGCACAAGCTCTAAGAGGTGGACTTCCAAGACCCCCACACCTATGAATTCCAGACAGAGATCGTCACAACCCCCTTTCACCCGAGGCCAGCTTCCTTCAAGACTAAGCAAAAGGAAGAGTAATAATTATTAATTACAACAATTATTATTATAATTATTATTATAATAAAAATATAATTGTATTTGCAAGGGAAATATTATACAGTAATTCACTGTGTATGGGGGACTGGCAGCCAGTGTATATATACATATGTTAGGCTTACATCTAGATTCTGCCAGGATTGAACTACTGACCCCCAGGATGCAACTGGGGGGCTGTGACGATCTCTGTCTGGAACCAGTAAGTGCAGGGGCTTGGAAATTCACCACCTAGAGCTCGTGCAGCCCAAGCTCTGCTTCAGGAGGCTGGGGTCGTTCTTGCCCTTGCTGGGGTGGTTTTTGGGGGTGGGGTGGTATAAGAACATTAAGAATAAGGGCAAATGCTGATGAGCCGCCCACTCTCTGGTCATGTGGAGGAGTACTACATTAGACAGTTTGAGACTTGCATGCCCAATGCTTGCCCCTTGCTGTTTTGTGTATATTGTCACCCTATCCTGGCTCGTATTGATTTCCAATGAGACCTTTAATGATCTTTCCTTACAGAACATAAAAGTAGAATAAAACTAATTTTTTTATTTACATTCATCCATCAGATTCTATAGTTACTGAAAATTATAAACAATTTACAGTACAGTGTACAGTATATAATTATTAGTAAAATATTATAGAATCCAGTTAGACTTAACAAATTTAGCTTGAAACTAGCTTGTAATAGATAGCAGGATAATTTCAAAGCCATTTCTTACACTGTTATAACAAGTAGTTTTAGCATAAGAAGTGCTGCAATTTCTTTGTCAAGTAAAGTTATCTGCCAGAAGTGATGACTTGAAAAATTGGTCCCTTTGGTACTACAGTAGACACATCTTCCAAGTAGTGTAGCAAATGAAACATTAAGTTAATATCCTGTAATATTTACAGCTGATCAGCATATTGATAGGACAAGATGCACGGGCATATATCAAGAGATGATGACTCTGGGTCTGACTGGGACAGTATTTCTGAAATGGCTCCACCACCACCGAAGAAACAAGAGAGCCAAATTTCTGCTCGAGGACAATCTCAAGGTATTCTTTCCTTTTTTTTTTGATACTCGCTAATCTATCCCTATCTGACTTATGCTAGCTGCACCTGGGGGTTCAACCACTTCAAACTACCTCAAGTCCATCATTACCCAGCAGAAATCTGCTATTATAACAAATTCTGTCATCAGATAGCACAAAGCCCCTCTATTTAAGTCCCTGGACATGCTAAACATACTCACTCCACACATTCTGTTGTGCTATGTACTCATAAAACGCTTTATTGCTAAATTCTACTCCAGTTTTGAAACTCTTCCTAGGTGTATTTAATAGAACCCATAAACATCACACCAGAAATAAATATATCTTTGATATTCTCAGAGTCAGACTAAATATATGCAAACAGGCCTTGCAAATAAAAGAACCCAATACAGTATATGGAACTCGCTTCCTAATGAATTAAAAAAATTGCCTAACCTATACAGATACTTAATTCAAAAGTAGAACAATTATGTAGTATCCCACCTTGTGATACTAACTCAGCTAGTTTTTGCAATATAGAAATGCAACTTCATCAGTATAGTTGATTTTATCACCACTTTAACCACTGCACTGTGCAACGAGCCTTGAGGCTCTCTATGGGTGATGTGCAATGGGCGTCAGGACTCTTATAGGTATAACGTATCATTTAAAACTTCCACGGGTACACGGGGTTCACATCAGCTTCCTCAGAGCTCTCCTTAACAGACGCCATAAAGCAGAAGTAACATCAATACCGAACGCAAGCTGGAGCGGCTCCGCCAGTGTCACATGATAGGAGGCGACAGTATTCAGCATAAGATGACAGTCATGAAACAATCACAACAGGAAGGACAAAACAACCCCATCAGAGACCGAAATACACCTACGCAGTGATAGGAAAAACCAGAAGGACCACCAGGAAACCTCATACTGCCACCGAGACGAAGCACACAGATGGGAGACCAACAATGAAGCCACCTGCGCTCCATACAAATGGTGATAGACTCAAGTCATAAAGACCAGACACGAAGACTCGAGACGAAGAGTGAACCAGCCTCGTAACGGGCAGGACCGATCTCCTGAAAGAGATGGAGCAACGGAAAGACCCTCAGGTTTGGACACCGAGCAAGCAGCGCCTGAAACCAAGGCTGGGCTGGCCAGCAAGGGGCCAAGAGGACTACTCCCTAGTAAATCCACTGGTAAGTAAGACCACTGGGGGAAAAGGTACAGGTAAACCCACCTCACCCTGTCCTGCTTGAAGGCATCGACCCCAACGGCCTCGCAGTCGGGGAAGAGCACCACGTATACCGGGAAATGCCTCGGTCACGCCGATGCAAAGAGATCCACTTCCGGAGGCCCGAACGTCCTGCAGAGCCAACGGAACGCATCGGCTTCGATCGTCCATTCCAAGGACAAGGGAATGAACTGGGACAGGCCGTCCGCCAAGACATTGGACACCCTCCGAACGTGAACCCACCAGGAAAGCCAAACCCCTAGAACTCAGCACGCGAGTCACCCGAAGCGACCAGCCTCAAAGAGCCAAGGACCACATCGAATCCTCTCAGTTCAGACAATGAACCACCAGGGAACAGTCCGAATGGAGCCAGACCGCCGATCTGCGAGAAACCCGAATCCTCCTGAGCGACATCCTCACAGCCACGCACTCCCGCACAGTGCTGAGAGCCTGACGGAGGGACGGAACCCACCGCCCATGGCCGGCCTGGTGAGCACTGGTCACAAAGCCCCACCTAAGAGACGACATGTCTGTGAACACATCGAGCGAGGGCTCGGGTAGGCACCATGGTACTGAACCCTGAAAAACCCGAAGAGGAAGCTGGTGACGCAGCAACTGACACAAGGCCCCCAGAGGCCGAACCCAGCGGTCACGAGAGAGGCAGAAGGGACAACCCCAAAAGAACTAGAACAGCCAATGAAGCCTCAACTGAACCGGCAGGTAGACCATCATGGCAAAGTTCAGGCTCCTGCACAAACCCCCGAGCAACCGCTGCATTACCCGTGAGCCCCTCAGAAACAGACAAAGGTAGGAACACAGACAAAGCTGAGCCGCCGGAGGAAGAGACAAGGAAGCAGCCCGAACATCCCACACAAAACCCAGCCAAGACCGAACCCGAGAGGGAACCAGATGGGATTTCCGCCAGTTCACTAAGAACCCGAACTTGGCGAGCTGGGAAAGAACCAAATCCCTGGCGAGCAGACATGTGAACAGGCTGGAAGCCCAAACCAGCCAGTCGTTGAGGTAAGCCGGAACTCGAACATCTAACAGATGCAGATGGCCCACCATGACCCGAGTAAGGCGTGTGAGAACGCGAGGCGCCAGGGGTTCAGACGAGACAAGTCCAGAATGAACCAGAGATCAGTGCAGTCCCGTTTCAGGACTGGAAACAGGCGGGAAATCCACCTGAGGGACGAAGACGTCTCGGCCATACCCAAGGTAACCTACTCCGAGAGACTTGACAGAGTGCAGGAGAAGAGGCCGCCAGCCCCAAACTCCCCGTAGGAGGAGCCACTCAATGCCACCATAGGCCACACGAAACGACCCAAAAGGCCCATGAATTGTGAGACCAGGCACGAGCAAACAGAGCGAGCCTCCTCCCACTACCCCATCAATGGGATGAACCACAAAAGGGCCAACGCACCTTACAAGCACCCAAACGGCGCAAAGAGTGATCCCCGCGCCAAACAGAAATAGACGGCACCAAACCTGACACCACTGGGCTACCATGAGAGAAAGCACCCCGACCCCTGGCACGACCCTGCCGAGACGGCCTCCCACGAGCCCCCCCCCCCCCCCCGGACCAACAATTCCAACATAGGAGGGCAACTAACCGAAGCCGCTTGCAGATACTGCAACACCGCAGACTCTGCAAACAGCAACGGACAAAAGAGCAAAGACAATCTGAGAGTCAGGGCCCAAGCGTATTCCAAGGAAGAAGCGAGCACCGCCTGCTAACACGTGAGCCGAGAAGCAAAATACAGTACCGTGAAACCGCATCCCGCAGGAGCGGCATGAACAGCTTCAACAGTGCAGAGGACACACACACCGCCGAAAACAACGCACCAGACCCATAGGCGGTCCCCAAGCTCCTCCACATCCTCCGCAAGCCAGTCCGAAGACAGCTCAAGGAGGGAGAAGAACTGCAGGGCCAAAGCCAGCAGGAAGTCCTCCGCGACCAATGCAGCCGAAAGGGAATTGGACCCTGCACATGAAGCTGCATCACACCAACATCCCACGGAAGGGCAGGGACAAACAAGCACTTGTACACGGGTTGTAAACCCGTTCCTGCTGAAGTCGTAAATGCCAAAACTCTGCTGGGTTTTAAAATACAGATAGAAAAGATCATCCGGGCAAATGTATTACCTTTGACAAGCCGCCAGCTTTGCGCTCTTGTCAAGGCCACTAGTATTAGTGGCCCTCAGGTAAATTCATGTAAAATTCAGGTAATTTTACAATCATAAAGGCAATAACTTTTACATTTGTAAGCGTTCCACTCCCATGCCTTTATCTTTCTTCCTTAGGTCTCATAAGAGATTGCATTCCTCTCTCTATAGGCCTAACAAAAATTAGATAAAGTTGGCCTTTATTTTATTGTGGAAAATCATGAACTTTACTTTTTGTGAATCTTTTGCAATTTCCATAGGGTATTTTGAGGGATCAAGCTTGTGGAACTAATAGGTTAGAGTTGTCATAAAGAAAGCTGTCACTCAAATTTGGGGGTTTCCTAAATAAAGATTTACAACTTTTAGCACTGTCACATTGAATTTTATATACAGGATACAATACAGCTTGTATTGGTATGATAATTTAAGTTGATCTGAGTACCCAGCTGTAGTAAGTTTTCATGATATTTCTTCATTATTTTTATAATGATTTCTTGATAATTGCTTACAGATCAGTTGGCAGCTGTACCTCGTAAACTAAAATCATTGACGCATGTTGATCCACATCTTGGGAGTAAGCAGGCCAGTGAAAATCCCCCATTTAGTTTCAGGTATGTTCAAAAACTACATTGTTAAGTTTTATTTTACTTCAATTCTAATTTGTGTTTAAGATTGATACAATGGGTCCCAGTAGTACAGTCGGGTTTGTTTTCAACTCATAATTGAGAATTCCGGGTTTGAATCCTGGGCGGGACAAATGGTTGGGCGCACTTCCTATCACCCAATGCCCCTGTTTACCCAGCAGTAAGTAGGTATTTATTTATATATTTTTTATTTATTTATATATTCAAGAAGGCTTGGTCCCATGATTTGTGGGCGTTTCGGGTCGTTTCCGACGGTCTGCGGTGGCGTTGGGTGGCTCCTCCTCCTTCGGGGGGATCGGGGCTGGCAGGGCAGGCCTCTTTCCCTGCGCTCTGTCAAGTCATCTTGGAGTGGGTGCGCTTGGGCATGGTCAAAACAACGACGTCCCTTAGGTGGGTCTCCTGCTTGTTTCCAGTCCCGAAATGGGACTCTGTGGACCTGAGGTTCATTCTGGACTTGTCCCGTCTGAACCCCTGGGTTCATTGCTCCTCCTTTTGGATGTCCCAGGTCCGGCTTCTGTTGGAGCTGGGTGTTTGGATGGTGTCCCTGGACCTCCGGGACACGTATTGGCACGTCCTGATTCATCCAGGGTTCAGGGGCTGGCTTGGTTTTGTTGTGGAGCATCAGAGTTACTGCTTTTGTTGTCTCCCTTTCGGGTTGAACCTGGCACCTCACATTTTCACATGCCTTACATGGGTCGTGGTGGCCCGTCTGCGTCTTTTAGGTGTTCGGGTGTTGGCCTACTTCGACAACTGGCTGGTATGAGCTCCCAGCCGGTCCGCATGTCTGCTAGCTAGGAGTTTGGTTCTTTCCCAGCTCGCCGGGTGTGGGTTCTTGATGAACTGGAGGAGGTCCCTTCCCAGGTTCGAACTTGAGTGGGTCTTGTTTGGGATTTTCGGACCGCTTCCTTGTCTCTCCCTCTGGAGTCTTTCCTTCGCCTGCGGTCCCGCCATTGCCGTTTAGTGGAGGGCTCCCGGGTCACTCGACGGTTGCTCTGAGGGAGTCTGAACTTTGCAATGTTGGCCTACCCGCCGGGTCAGGTTTGGCTGCGTCGCCTATTCTGGTTCCTTCGGGGATGTCCTTTCCGCCTCTCTCACTATTGCTGGGTTTGACCCCCGGGGGCTTTGCATCAGTTGCTGCGTCGCCGGCTTCCTCTTTAGGTTTTTCGGAGTTTGGTGCCATGGCGCCTACCCGAGCCCTTGTTCGATGTGTTCACGAACCCATCGTCTCTCGGCTGGGGCTTTGTGACCAGTGCTTACCAGGGTCGGCCAGGGGTGATGGGGTCCATGCTTCTGTCAGGCCCACAGCACGGTGTGAGTGTTTGGGGCAGTTTAGTTTGCGCTTCAGAGGGTTCGGGTCGCCTGCAGATCGACGATCCATCTTCTTTCGGACTTCACCCTGGTGGTTCATTGCCTGAACTGAGGGGGTTCCATGTGGTCCCTGGCTCTTTGGCGCTGGTCGCTTCGGGTAACTCGTCTGCTGAGTTCTCGGGGTTTGGCTCTCCTGGTAGTTCACATTCGGGGATGTCCAACGTCTTGGTGAATGGCCTGTCTCTGTTCGTTCCCCTGTCCACGGAATGGAAGGTCGACGCCAACTTGTTCAGTTGGCTCTGCCAGACATTCGCTCACCCAGAGATGAATCTCTTCGCGTCGGCGTGGTTGCAGTGCCTTCCAATATATGTGGTGCCCTTCTTTGACTGCGAGGCCGTCGGGGTCGATGCCTTTCGGCAGGACTGGTCAAGGTGGGGGTTCCTGTACCTCTTTCCCCCGGTTCAGCTGTTGTTCCAGGTCTTGACTTGCTTGGAGACTTACCAGGGGAGAGTAGTCCTTTTGGCCCCATGGTGGCCGGTCCAGCCTTGGTTTTAAGCACGCCTTGCACGGTGTCTGAACCCGGAGGTTTTCCCGTGGCTCTGCCTCTTTTAGCAGATCTGACCGGTGCGTCACGTGGCTGGTTCGATCTTCTTGAATCTTCGTGTATGGTATTTTTGACTCGAGTCTATCATCATCTCTATGGTGATCAGGTGGCTTCGTTGCTGGTGCTCCATCTACGGGCTTCGTCTCGGTGGTACAATAGAATGAAGTCTCTTGGCGGTCATTCTGTTTCTTTCTTTCGCTTCGTAGGTATACTTCGCTGTCGGTCAAGGTTGTCTTGTTCTTTCTTGGTTGTTCCAGGACTGTTGTCTTATGCCGAATACTGTAGCCTCCTATCGTGTGGCGCTGGCGGAGCCGCTGCAGCTTGCTTTCAGTATTGATGTTACTTCTGTGCCGTTTCACAAGCTGTCTCGTGCGTTTTTCACCTCCGGCCTACTCATGCGCCGCTTCAGCCATCCTGGTTGCTTGACAAGGGGAGGTCAGGTAGGGGAGCTTCATGCTCTCCTCCTGTGCAGGGGTTTCTGCTCGTTTGGTCGTGGCGGTAGGTTTGTTCGTTTGTTCACACATCTCCCTCTTCAGCAAACTCTTATTCATCGAATCAGATGAGTAAATCCCACATAGAAAGTGTGTGTTCCAACTGGAGATTCCCTGAATCAAAGTTCATTGATTTGAGGTTCCACTGTAATTGGTTAGTTCAGATTATAGCTGGCCTTTTGATAAATGTTTCATTAACATTGTCACATTTCAAATTCTAAAATTACAATACTTCAGAAATGTTGACATGCAAATACAGTATAACATAATTTTATCTTGTTATAAAGAATTAAAGTATATTTACCTAAAGGCTACTATCTCTGGTTATGCTTGATGGAGATAGGGAGCAAATGACTTATTAAAGGTCTCCCCCATTGTTCTTAGTGTCAATGTTTTGTATAATGATGAATATTATATGTACATTAATTTTGATACTTTCCTTGGGGGATACTACTTGTGAACCTACTCCATTATTCATGAAGTTATGGATTTCTTTTCAGGTCTGAGATTAAGAGTCCTGTCAGAGTTTTGTCTGAGCACACTGCCAAGCCAGGTAAACAAAAGAAAGGAAAGTTGTATGACCCTCGTCCACCATCTCAAAGGCGTGTAAGCTTTGTTGAAGAGGACTCCTTTGACCAAGGTATTCCTTTTGAATAAGTTATTCATACAGTATTCTCCTCCCCCTCTAAAATCTAGGCTGTTCTGTAGGACAGCGGTCGCCAACCTTTTGATGCTCACGGATCACCCAATTCATAATTTTAAATCCTGCGGACCATTAATGTGAATCCCGCGGTCCACCAAACAAGAAATAATAGTTATTACTAAAGTCAAACTATTTGATGCCATTAAATATAACAGTTAAAGAAAATACACAGTTACACAGATAAAATTGTCTCGCAGACCACCAGTTGGCGACCATTGCTATAGGAGGTCTGCTCTAGATTTGCATAATTTCTAAAGTTTTTCAATTCTTTTGGCTATTTTTCACCAAAGGTTAGTTTTCTCCTAGCAAATGATAGAAGACATCTCTATGTGTATTTAAACATATTGCACAAATAATACAATACTGTGAATAAGCAAGGATTCTTGAGCAAGGCCCTAAACATTCCTCCCTGAACCAGCAGCCACGGTCCAACAAGAACACTAAGACATCAAGTCTTATTGACTTTTGCCATAGTGGGAAAGTCAGAGTGGGAAAATGTTGTAAGTGGAATGCCTCAGGGCTCTGTCCTGGGACCTCTGTTATTCATAATACTGTATATATAAATGATTTAGTATCAGGTTTGAGTAGCAATATTTGTAAATTTGCCAATGATACGAAAATCGGGAAGGAAATAAACACAGAAAAAACTCACTATCACTTCAGGATGATCTAAATAGGGTATGGAAATGGTCAAAAGATTGGCAGATGCAGTTTAATGCTGACAAATGTAAGATTTTGAGGCTAGGTAATGATGATAGACTTACAAGATACGAGCTAGATAATGTTGAGATTGCGAAGTCGGGTTGCGAAAGGGATCTAGGAGTTATGATTACTAAGAATTTAAAACAAAAAATCAATGTATAAATGTTCGTAATAAGGCAAATAGGACACTGAGATTTATTTATGGAAGTGTTAGCAATAAGACACCTGGCGTTATTCTTCAGCTATATCTTGCTCTTGTTAAGCCCCATTTAGATTATGCAGTTCAGTTTTAGTCGCCATACTATAGAATGGATATAAATTCACTAGAACGCGTCTACTGTAGGATGACAAAGCTAATCCCGCAAATTAGAAACCTGTCATATGAAGAAAGATTGACAAAGCTTAAATTACATTCTCTAGAAAGGCGAAGAATTAGTGGTGATATAATAGATGTGTACAAGTAGATAAATGGGCATTATGAAGGGAATATTAATAGGGCATTAAGAGTATCAACACAAAATAGAACACGAAACAATGGGTATAAATTGGTTAAGTTTAGATTTAGGAAAACCTGGATTAATACTGGTTCGGTAACAGGGTTGTTGATTTGTAGAACCAATTTACAGTGTAACATAATAGTAGTAGTATCCGTTTTGATTGTTGACCAGATCACACACTAGAAGGTGAAGGGACAACGACGTTTCGGTCTGTCCTGGACCATTCTCAAGTCGATTGTGAGAATGGTCTACGAAGGACCAAAATGTTGTCGTCCCTTCACCTTCTAGTGTGTGGTCTGGTCAACATACTTTAGCCACGTTATTGTGACTCATCGCCTCCATTTTGATTGTTTCATACGTAGGTTTAATATATATATGAATGAGATTGGGTGGTTATAAATAGGAGCTGCCTCATATGGGCCAATAGGTTTTCTGCAGCTACTTTCATTCATATGTTCTTATGATTGTTTCAAGCATAGGTTAGACATATACTGACAAATCCACAAGGGCCGTGACAAGGGTTCGAACCTACGTCTGAGAGGATCCCAGACGTTGCCTTAATCGACTGAGCTACGACATGGTAAAAGAATTGCAACTGGGAAATCATCCTGACCTACCGCAGGTCCTGAAGTCTCTCCGAGACACAAACCAGGGTTTTACACAATTCCCCCATGCACCTGAGCTCTGCCAATAGGCTGTTCCACCTCTTCACCCTTACTTCATTACACACAGAAATCACAATAGTGTGATGCATCAAATGAGCATCAAATATTCATTTGATGCATCACACTATTGTGATTTCTGTGTATTAGACATTTACAGTATATGAATGAGATTGGGTGGATATTAATAGGAGCTACATTGTATGGGTCAATAGGCCTTCCGCAGTTACATTCATTCTTATGTTTTTATGTTCTTACAAAAGCTACAGTTCTTTTTATAATGTACAAAGAGCAAAATTAAGTTGCTCAAGACACCCTGCATCCATCAATCGAGGGTTACTAGAAAACCAAATTATTGTTCTGCTAACAAGTTAATGAGCTTGCCACTTGTCTACCACTAGGTGGCATCACTAGTTACATAACAATTGAGAAACCAACAACTCTCATTTTCCATCTAGCATCCACCTGCTAATGTTTCAGCTCTGCAGAGGCTGATTTCATTAAGCATTAGTGTTCACTTCACGGCATGGTTACCAGTCATTTGCATGTCTCCGACTGTCTTCTTACATAAACTTGGTTTCAGGGTTATCTTCGTTGGTGCTGAATAATCAAAGAAAAAGGGATCCCAAAGTTATCTTCTCTGTGGCCTGGCTCCTAAGTTGGGCCACTATTTTGTTGGTGCATTTTAGAGGTTTTTGTTTCTGGCATGTCTTTGTGATAAGCTCTCTTTACAATTATATGCATTACACAGAAATCACAATAGCGTGATATATAAATGAACAAATCCACAAGTGCCGTGATGAGGGTTCGAACTTACGCCCGGGATGATCCCAGACGCTGCCTTAGTCGACTGCATCATGACATGGTAAAAGAATTGCAACGAGGAGTTCTACTAACCTCACTCGGATTCTGCAGCCTCTCCGAGATACAAACCAGGGTTTTACACAATTCCCCCATGGTAAAACCCTAGTTTGTGTCTCGGAGAGGCTGCAGGATCTAAGTGAGGTCAGTAGAACTCCCGGTTGAAATTCTTTTACCATGTCGTGGCACAGTCAACTAAGACAGTGTCTGGGATCATCCCGGGCATAAGTTCGAACCCTCATCAGGCCCTTGTGGATTTGTTCATTTGATATACTGTATCATGCTATTGTGATTTCTGTGTGTATTGAAGTAAGGGCGAAGAGGTAGAATAGCTTGTTGACAGTCCGAGTGCATGGGAGAATTGTGTAAAGAGGCTGCAGGATCTGAGTGAGGTTAGTAGAACTCCCGATTGCAATTCTTTTACCATGTCATGATGCAGTCGACTAAGGCAGCATCTGGAATCATCCTGGGTGTAAGTTCAAACCCTCATCGCGGACCAAAACCACATACCAAAACAAACGACACACACATATGCCAACCCATTTAGGACAGGCCACCGAACTTTCAAACCTCCTCTCTCTTTCTCTCTCTCTCTACACCCACATCCTCTTCCAGAATTTCACCTCCCCATCTCTCTACCCCTCCCTCCCATCCTTTCCAAACCCTTTAGACATCAAAGCGAAAGCTCATCGCGGCCCTTGTGGATTTGTTAATTATATGCATAGTCCACATGCAGATTATCTCTACTGAAAAATTCTTCTGTAGCAGCACTAAAGCTGGATGTTTTGCGATTTCCTTTCGTTTTATCAGGCATTTCATCTCAGTTGTGTGGATCAGATGCTTTCCCGTCCCATAGTGTGAGAGGCTCTTGTCCTTGCTCCCAGTGCATCAAGAAAAGCACTGATTAATAGTGAATTGGATTTGGCCCTGTGGGGCTACTATAGTGATGCAGAAAGTGATGTTTCATTACACTCCATGCTTTATTTGTTGAAGCGGGGGAGAGAAAGTTCTGTCTATCAAATGGAAAAACAATTTCCACAGTTAGAGGGGTTGTAATTTGAGCATGTATAGAAGTGAAATAAGATAGACTTGTTCACTTGGAAAGTAGCAAGTACATAGCACATTTGAGTGTAGGTGGTACAAATGCAAATATTTTGAAAACAAGTTATGTATTAAGAACATATTATAAGGTAAATATTTTGTTTATTTTATATAGATGTACAATGTAATAGTGTTTAGAATACTGCACCTTGTTACAGACAAACCATCAGCAAATGGAGGCATGATTGGCACTGACAGTGATATTGAAGATCCGCTGTATTCTACTGTTAAACCGAAAGAGGCTAACAATCCAGACCATATTGAACCTCCAGTTGAGAAGGGAAATGAAGATGAAATTATTCATGAATCCAAGAGAAAGAAATCTCTAATTTTTTCTAAATCTTTGCATAAGAAGCTACAAGGAATAGACAATAAGGGCTTTATAGGTAAGACATAGTCCAATTTTTATACATTATTACAGTTATTTTTGTGAAGGCTGTTAACTATTTAAAGGTGCTATACAGTACTGACTTTGTCCTTTGTGCTGTCTATGCAGTTCTAAAGTGTCGTGGTGCACACTTGGCTGAAATCTCGAGGATGTCCAACGATTGGTAATTTATCCTGGTCTACGAGTCTTGTAAATATATTATTTTTGTTCATATGGAAAGTCTTAAAGAGGTAATTGATAATGGTTTAATGATTCTGCATGGAATAAATAGAATAGTCCTTATGTAGCATTAACAAATTAATTACTGACCCAATGTTTTACTACAGTATTAAAAATTAATAAAAAATCTTGCACTTTTATACTAATACCCCCAGACTATACGTTAGTTATAAAATATTCCTTGAAAGAGAAGTAACTATTCCTACTAATACTTAACCCCTTTTAAAACAGGGTTTATTATGTTTATGTTTTAAGGTACACACTCCCCGACCGAACTGTCGAACCTCAATCTTTTGATTATTCCACCCATTCATTTGTGAGACACAAACAAACCAGCTTCAGGCCAAAGTTTGTTCCCGGCATGCTTCAAGGTTAATTGCTTGACCATTTCCCATGCATGTGCAATACACCACTCAGCTGACTTTATAGTAAATGTTTTTATAAAGTCCTTGATGATACCCTTCCTTGCATGCATTTGTCTGGCAAACTCAGTTCTGAAGTGGAGTTTGAGGTTCAAAATTATTCCATGATCCATGGGTTGGATCAAGGAAGCTGTGTTGGGTGGCAAAAATGTACCACACATATTGCCCAAAACTAGCTCATCTTCATGTGGATGTGTTGAGCTAGTATCAAGAAAGAGTACAACTTTGCTGTTCTCTGGCAAACTAATGCTGTTAAAGTGATTTTCTGAGCGAAGCCTCATTGAACCCTTCGAGGTGCTCACATCAAACCCCATGAAAACCCTAGGAGGATTCTCACTCTCGAAGTGGTTGCTGTCGTGTGACATCTGCCTCGCCCTTGGTGTCAGCGGTATTCTTGGTGCTTTTGTGTGGCCCTGGGTAGGGAGTGTTTGTTGCTGGTTGGGGTGCACAGTGCTGCTCAGCTCACACATGAGCGGCAGCTGTGATTCTCTCTGGCCTGCTATTGTTGTGGAGCACTTTTGGTGTTTCTTTTCATTCTTTTTAGTTTCTTTCCTGCCTGGTGGAGGGCTGTCTGGCTTCCCATTAGGTATGCCTACGTTCTGTTTGGTGGTCCTCTACTTGGCCCCCGGGGTTGCTCCCTTCACTGGGGCCAATTTGCTCAGTATATAGATGGGGTTCAACCAGCTTTGAAGCCCCCAGTGCCTGGGCTTCCCATAGGAACACTTTCCCCTGCAGGCATTGGAAACCCCCGTCGGGGCTCGTGTGACCATGGATATGTCTTCCGAGTCGCATCTCGCCTTGTGTGAATTTGAGGGTTGTTAGTTGCCCTTGTCTCAAGGGTGATGATCATCTGTTTTGCCTCTGTCATGCTGCTTGTTGGGTCAACGACATCTTCGACCAGGAATCGTGCGAGACTTGTTCCCTGCTTGTTATCCAGTTTACCCATTATTCTTCAGGAGATATTACGGGGTCAAGAGGCTTTCGCGTTGCATGCTAGGTTTAGGTTGTTGCAACATGCTAGGTTGGTTGCCTGCTCGAATGTCCCCGGGGCTGCCCCGCTTTGGTTTTAGGGACCCGGACTTGGTGTGTTGGTCGCTTCGACCTTGATTCAGTCCGCGCCCCTGAGTCTTTCCCCTGTTGGTGTGGTTCACCCTGTTGCCGCTCCCAAACATCTGAGTCGAGGTGGGGTTTAGCCAGGTATGAGACTCAGGCAGCTCCAGGGGCTGCCCCATTTGATGCGGGGACCTTTGAGTTTGATCCTCCCGCTGAGGGTTCTAGATCTTACCAGCAGATCCCCCTTCTTTGATGCCTTTTCCCTGGACTCTGACTTCTCTTCAAAGGTAGAGGGTGTGGAGGCCAGCCCTGCCCCAGAGCCTGGTTTTGAGACTTCTGAGGCTGGGGAGGAGTCGGCCTGGGGTGCTTGGGCCCCGTTTGATCCTGCCTGGGCCTTGGTGCCTTTGGGGCTGTGTTTGCTCTTGCAGTGTTCCGGGTTTTTGTATCTCCCTTCCCTGTACGAGTTTGATATGGGTTCATTCCTTTAGGTTCCGCGGCTTCATCCTTCAGGAGGTTTTCCACCTCTCGGATTTCCCCCTGTGGAGGTTTGGGAAGTACCTCCTGTGAGACCTGGACTTTGCCTCTGTGATGAATCCAATCTCTTTTGAGTTTGGTTCTTTTTACTCATATTAGGTGCACTAAGAGGTTCCAGCATCTTCCTGGCTTGCAGACTGCTCTTTCTTTTTGATTGGGGTGTGGTACGGGTTCTGTCATACCCGCACGCTTGATTGGTGGGAGCTTACTACGGTATTGCAGGTTTACCTGGGGGGTGCTTTTGAGCGCTTCATTGTGTGCCTTTACGCCCCTGTGCTTCCTTGTGAGGCTGGCTTGCTACATTTGCACACCCAGGTTCCTTCCCTTTTGGGAAGGAACCAAGAAGTTGCCTTGGTTGCAGAGGATCTTTGCGCTCGCAGGAATCTGGTCTCAGTCCTGTGCTTCTTTTCACTTTTCGAGCTCTCCTCGAACTGGCATGTGGAGGATATGGAGGCGCTGAGTGCTGGGCAGTCGTCTGGGCCATTGGCCTCGGCTGCTAGGGCATTGGCGCTGTTGCTGAAACTGTATGCGCCTATCCTCTGGGAGGCAGTATCTCTGTTTTTTGCCTCTCACCTTGCGTGTTAGCAGGCCATCCTCGCTCTCTCTCATGATTTGGCTTGGGCACCTGGCTCTTAGGTTTTCATCCCCCCTTTTCTCCGTTATTGTTTGTGGACTCAGTTGTTACTCACTTTTTGCAGGCGGCTTCTGATAGTTGCCGTCCTCTTTCTGATTTGTTGGTGATCCTGGGTGGGCATTCTTGTGTTTTCCAGAAAGGTCATGCCAGGGTTTAGGTCTCTGCAGGTCAAGGTGGGTCTTTGGTGCCAGCTTCTGTGCCGGTGCCTCCTCTGGAGCCGTCTTCATCTGATCCATGTGGTGCTCGCTCTGTGCATAAGTCGGCTTTTCGAAAGGGGCATCTACCCTTTTGCGGGTCGCCCTTTAATAGGGTGATGGGGGGGAGGTTGTTTTCCTTGTTTTCCTATGCTTGGTTCTCTGATGCGTGGGCATTTTGGATCGTGTCCTCCGACCTGTGTGGAGACGTTTGCCGGCTCCTCCTCCTCTCAGAGCGTCGGGGCTGGTGGGGCAGGCTTCTTTCCCTGTGCTCTGTCAGGTCATCCTGGTGTGGATGCGCTTGGGTATGGTCGAGATGACTTCATCCCTCAAGTGGGTTTCTCACTTGTTTCCAGTGCCGAAACGGGGCTGTGCAGATCTTCGGATCATTCTGGACTTGTCCTGCCTGAACTGCTGAATTCCTTGCCCCTGCTTTCAGATGACCACTCTGTCCCAGGTTCGGCTTCTTTTGGAGTCGGGGTCTTGGATGGTGTCTAGACCTCTGGGACACGTATTGGCACGTCCTCATTCATCCGGAGTTCAGGGACTGATTAGGTTTTGTGGTGGGGCAGCAGGCTTCCTGCTTTCAATGCCTTCCCCTTTGGGCTGAATCTGGCACCTTTTATTTTCACGCATCTTACCCGGGTCGTGGTGGCTCTGTCTGTGTTTGCTAGGTGTTTGGGTTTTGGCCTACCTCGACGACTGGTTAGTATGGGCTCCCAGCCAGGCCGCATTTCTGCTCGCCAGGGATCTGGTTCTTTCCCAGCTTGCCGAGTTCCGGTTCCTGGTGAACTGGAGGAAGTTCCATTTGGTTCCGTCCCAGGTTCAGACCTGGCTGGGTCTTGTCTGGGATTCCCGGACTGTGTCCTTGTCTCTCCCTCCTGCGGCGTTGCTCCGACTGGAGTCCCGCCTTCGGCTATTCCTGAGGGACTCCCAGGTCACATGGCGGTTGCTTACACACTATACACCATTGAATAATATTACTGCAAAAAACTAAGAAAAAAATCAATCAGAGACATTGAAACAATTAGATAATAATATCTTTGTGGCAACTCCCGCTTGACTGCTCGGGCGGAGGTGACCGCCTCCAATGATTATTCTGTCAACGCCTCAATTTTGGCAGACTTTCTCGCCCTATTGTGGCCAAAATATGTCACCTATGATTTTTCTGTATTATTCCTGTGGTCAGGGAACAAATGAACACTTTTATGAGACAATTTTTTTTCTTGCGCCTGGGTGTGTTGCAGGCTATAATCACAAGAGCAGCCCAGGGGTTAACAACTGCACCATGACGTTTTTGCCAAAAACAGGTGTTTGCAGTGCAGGGGTTAAACAAAATACAGGCTATAAGACACAATTAAATCTGACTGTAGTAGGAAAGGAACACATAAAAGATCTGGGAATAATGATGTCTGACGACCTAACGTTTAGGGAACATAACCAAGCAAATATTGTGTCAGCCAGAAAAAGGATAGGATGATTTATGAGAATCTTCATATCAAATCACTTGTGCTGTTCCATCTTGAGTACTGCTCAGTACTTACTTCCCCCTTCAGAGCAGGAGAGATTGCTGAAATAGAGGGAATACAGAGAACATATACAACACACATAGACACGAACAAAGCAACTAAAATATTGGTATCGTCTCAAAACTCTCAAAATGTACTTTGTAGAAAGGACATGAGAAAAGTATCAAATTATATATGCTTGGAAAATACTGGAGAGCTAGGTGTCAAATTTTCACATTAAAATAGCAACATACTGGAGTGAACAAAATGGAAGGAAGTGGAGAATAGTGCCAGTGTAGGGTAGAGATGCCATAGGCACAATCAAAGAACACTGAATATCAAAGGTCCATGGTATGTTAAGTATCCTTAACATACCATGGACCTGGTATGTTAAGCAAGTATAAGCAAGTATAAGAAATATTGCCAGAACAAAATTGGAAGCCTTCAAGAAAAAGCTGGATAGTTTTGTGCACGAAGTGCCGAACCAACCAGGCTGTAGTAGATATGTGAGCCTCTGCGCTGCTATAAACAACAGCCTGTTGAACTAAACTCTCACAAGTCATAATGGAAGTTCTTCTACTCTTTTTGGAGAGTAGAAAAACTTCCAGAACCCTATCCAGGTACAAACCAAGTACTGCTTACCTATTTTTACTGTACTGTACTTATCAGTGACTATGGGGATGCAAGATCTAGCTTTTTTTGCCCTGCCTACTTGCCTTGGGCAAGGATCAAAGATTGCAAATTCATATAATTAATCCCTGGCTGTTGCATCCCTGTGGATGCCTACCGAGACATAGTGTTTGTCAAAGGTACACATTCAATTTAATTTCACTATTAAGGATAGTGAGAAGTGTGCCTTATAATGCTAAATGAATTTGTTTCTACAAATAATGTCAAGATACAGAACAATATATAATTACAGGCTTTTCTCTGTATTTCCTCGAGCTACCTGCTTGAAGTCCTCCAAGCCTAGGTTGGAGAACACCAGTCTGTAACAAATCATGAGCACCTACTAGAGATCACTTCCAAAATCTGGCCCCTTCAATAGAGGCAAGGAGAGTCTTGGTGGGGAAGGGGTTACCAGACCACCACATTAACTAATGAGTAGAAACTACAGTACTAGGAAGGTATAACACAACAAAACAAGTTTAATTATTTCTGCATCAGGTGTGTCACATGGCATAGGTTCTCTGGGTTTTGCTAGCTCTGCAGACACTTGCTATTCATCTATGTATATTACTTGCCATCCCTTTGACTGTCCTGTGTATGTGTGGAGAGGGAGTCTTTTATTTGTTCTTGGCTCTGCCTCTGGGCCCTTCTCTTTTTCTGTTCTTGGGTCTTTGGGAAGGGGTCCGTACATGGGTCCTTTTACCTCTGCGCTGTTTGCTTATTTTGGAGTTTGGCTCCACTGGGAAGGGGGTGTTCAAAAGGACCTTGCCATAGGGTACAATAAGTGAACTCATCATATATAAAATCTAAGCTTGATATTTGTTTTAATTTCAGAGGACAATGAAGCTGCAGATAAAAAATCCACAAATTCTAGTCCAGTTTATGCTAAACCTCATACTTTAGGTAACCAACGCCTTCCACCCAAATTACCACAGGATCGTAATAGGTGTCAACAAGGGCTGAAGCACGATACATGCCATACAATGCCAAATCCTGAAAACAGCTTATTGGTTAATCAAGAATGGTACGTTAAATTCTGCATTTACAGTAGTTTATGATGTATGAATGAATACACTCAATCAGCACGATTAGCCTACAGAGCGTTGTAATAGAGTCAGCCTGAAGTATGCAGTTGATAGTTTGGCATAAGTCACCAAGTAAGAGTATTGGTTACGAAAGATTAAAACCTTATGGGTCTAAAATGTTGAATAAAAACATTGTAAGAGTGCATATGTCATCACAAATTCTCCTGGTTGATGGATTTCTTTTTTATTATTTTGTGCTTAATCAATTGGCTATAATTTGCAGTCCTTAAGCATGTTCATAAAATTAAATTGATTGAAACTGGAGATCATGACCTAAGATGGTTGTTTACAAAACCAGTTTATATTTTTGTTGAGGGTTTATTAACTCTGCAGTGTTGTGACAACAAATTAGCACATCTGCACCCAACTTTCCATGCACTTGTCTTTATACCAAGTGATGGGCTGGATAGTCCCTCACCCTCTGGTACTAAGTGATGGGGCTGGATAGTCCCTCACCCTCTGGTACCAAGTGATGGGCTGGATAGTCCTGCACTTGGATAAAACTACAGTATTGTTGTACTATAACTTCGATGTACAGTAATGTAACATTGTTTATTGGAGTTAATTTAGATAATACTCTAGAGTACTATGTATGATAATTTAACATTACAGTAGTCTTGTAGAGTAACTGAAGTACTGTCCAGCACTGCAATTTGCATTTAAAGTGATACAAAGTTGACTGATTTATGAAGTTCATTATTTACTCGTAGGTCGCCACCTCTTATACTGACGGCGGGAGAAACATCTCTGGAGTCGGCTGGGAAGAAGTCGGTGGAGGCCGTCAATAGGGCCATGGGGGAAGCCTTTGCTCTTATAACCTTCCCTTTCACCTGCTTTACTTTGTTTCTTCATCATTTAATACGGTAAGACAAAATGGGAAATACTTTATTCCCTTATTATTCATGGACTATTTATAACATTTGACAATACAGTATTATAATTTATACATGATATAAGAATTTGTATTTATAAAATATATTTTACAGGAGATAATTAGTATAGAAATTGTATATTATTTAGTCACTTATACACAAGGCTTATTGGTTCAATATATTTGTATGTATCTGTATGCAGTAAGCATGAAACCTTTTTTTTCTACGAGGCTTTTTCATTAATTTATTTTTCTTGTGGTTTTATATTCTTCAGGTTCTTTCTTCAGGGGGTGTTACGCCCTCTTTTGGTAGAGCCCTTGACGTTGATAGTGGAGTATTTGTTGCATCCTATCATGAGTGGTGTGTTGAGGCCGCTCCTCATCACTGTGCATGGTGTTTCCCTATACTTCAGTGACATCATAGTGGTGTGTCTGAGACCTTTGACTACTGTATTGCAATCTTTCAGGTTAGTCGAGATTAATCAGACGCGAAGGTACTCGCTGGAAGACGTTTAGATTCTCCGTGGATGATACTTCTTTATTTTGAGGTTTTAAGTGTTTGAATTTTATTTCACTTTATTAAAAAAAAAAACATTTAGCATTGAATGTAATAAAAAACTTGTGTGTGGTGGGTTCCCTCAGGGGCTCCCCTGAAACAGGGAGCTAACCAATGCTAACTGAGGAGAAACCTTCCAGGACAATTGTCAGAAATTTTGAATGATGCATTTCAAACACTCTTGGGACCAATTGTTTTAATGAAATAGCCTAAATAAAGCTACAGATTGCATGGGAAGAAAACAAACCATAAAGCCATGTACTGTATTTTAATGAAATGTGCCTTTGTCGGCTGTACACAAGATTTGTGGTTTGGTTTACCAAAAATGTTATACAAAGGTACAAAATTTGAGGTAGTCATTATTATTTGCTAGTCAGTGCTTTCCTGTTATTGTTTGCTATTTAAATCTTTTATTTAAATCAAATATAGTTTTCTAATTCTGTATTTTGATCATTTTTATTTTGTGTTTTTTATCTACATGTATAATAATACTGTAATCATAAACATTTTAATTTGCTTATGTATTTGCTATGATGTGTTTACACATTTCCAGTATATGTTGACTATTTCCTTCAAGTATTAACACTTTTGTGTTCCAACGATGCTGAAACACGTCATCCGTACTCCTGCAGTAAACGTTCTAATGAAGTTAAAATGTGTCATTCGATTACTATTCATGAACATTCGTATAGTTATTGTCGTCATGAATAATCTGTTATAAATACAGTACATTTTTTTTTTTATCTATTCCCTAGGTAATAGTAAAAAAAAATTTGCATCACCGAGCAGCCTGTGAGAGGCCTAGGGAGCCCGGATCATTTACAGTGGCGAGTGCGTGAAGACGCCAGAATGTGAAAGCGTTAATATGAATAATGTGAAGTTGGATTAAGCATAATAAACTTAGCCAGTGTTATATAAGTTAGCATTAACACTAGCAAGGTGTGTGTAATGTTCTTCCATATTGCTAGTGCTTCATCATTATTCACTGCTTGAAGTAATCTGGTTGACAAAGGGTGACTTCTCGTTCATTCTTTCACATCTTGCATATTATTTTAAAATACTTTGTTAGTCTCTCACCTGTTCGTTGTACAGCACTTTACTATTGTATTCATCATAAGTCACATTGCTCTCCTCCCCTTCTTGCAATCAACCAAAGAGTTTCTAGATCTAGACTTTCTCTACAATTTCTAGTTTTGGAATTGGGTGGTTATAAATAGGAGCTGCCTCGTATGGGCCAATAGGCCTTCTGCACTTACCTCTATTCTTATGTTCTTAGATCTTAGGCTTCCACACCACCCCTTCTCCAGTCAACCAAAGAGTTTATGTAAGCAATGCTACAACTAACTTATCCAGCCAAAGATAATTTGTATCTTATGATTATTCCATTCTCTTTTTTTTTTTCCCCCTCGCCAAGCAATTACGGAATTTTAGTCCTAGACTTGCCATGCCGATGAAATTCTGGCTTCTCAGACTTTAGTTTAAGGAGCTTTCTGGATCTGGTCCTGTAAGTATTGCAGATTGTTATATAACTTAATTGACACTTCACACATGTTGAAAGTCTCTAATTTAATATTCTGTGTGTGGAGATATATGCAATTTAAAAAATATATTTATAGCTTTCATTTTTTCAGACTAAACCCAATACTGTTCTGTATATATATTACTTTTTTTCTATAAAGTAAAATGATTTTCAGGTTTATTAATATTTGAAATGTTGATATAATACTCTGCAATTTATAAGGTATATATCCTAGGTATACTGTACATGTATGGTCAAACTAATTATATTCTGGCATTTACTACACAATTGTATACCTCAGATGCATAAGTTCTTGCAGGATACAACACTAATGTGCCCCTTGAGTACAAGAGTGTTGATAAGGTATGCACAGATCAAGTACGAGGTACTTGTAAGGCATAATACTAATGTACATGTTAGATACATTAATAATTCATTGAATACTTTTAGGGCAGGAGCCAGTGTAGATGGTTCACTACCGACTTATCCTGGATTAGTTTCCTGGGGAGGGGAAGACATTGGGGCACATGTCCTTACACCTAATGCCTCTATTCACCTAGCAGTAAATGGATTCCAGGGTGGTGGTAAAGAGTTGTGGGTTGCATCCTGAGGAATGGCCAGTCATGGGCTAGGGTGACCACGATAAGCTTTACAGGCTTACTGCCTCGGGGAATGGGAAACCATTTTGTTGGATGCTGATACCATTGCAGCAATTGTTGAGGTGGGGGACACTGTCCACCACAGTTGACACCATGATATTCATTCACACTTGTATCGACAACTTCTTTAGTGATCACTATTAGTTTTATTTCATATTTCACTATCATATCAAACATGCTTAGCATAATCACCTAACTTGTGTCAACTAGTCATTCATGATAGCTGGTTCCACCACTAATCAAACTTCAAACAAGGTCAGATAAACTCTATGGCGAGTGTTGTGTTTATAATATTGAGTTTCACATTATATTTGCACTATTCTAAACCTCATCATTTGGAGATCACACTGAAGGTACAGTACTTGCAAAGGGCTGTAACATCTGCCTCTTCACGAGGGAAAGTGTATTGAACATGTAGCAGACTTGAGGAATTGTCCAACTGAAAAGGTGCATTAAGCTTGCACCCAAAGCACTGTTAGCTTTTATACATGTTCTGCTACCTAAATAGAATTGTTTCACACATTTTACCGACACTTGGACGACGACAACAACAACATACATGTAATCACTCTCCAAAGTGGTTCTCTATTAAATTTGCCATATTTTCCTCTCACATTGTTTGCCTTGTATTTTATAATAATAATAGAAAAAGTACATACATAGATGTAGTTACAAACATTCTGATTGATTTATAGATAGAGCTAGTACACACAATACCTAAAGCCACTAGTATGCATAGCGTTTCGGGCAAGTTTCGTTTATATTTTTGCTCTCATATTGGCATCTCGAGTGATATTTGAGACCTTTTGAGCATCCCATGACATAGACAGTGCTAAAATAGCTTTCCTGGCATGGTACCTTCTTTTGGTAATTACTTACTTAAATTTGCCATATGCTTTTTCAAAGTCCATAAATACCACAGACACACATTACACTCTTTCTCAGGAACCTTCTCTAAAGTCATCTCAGTGTAAACTTCTGATTGCACATCTGTTTTCAGAGTAAGAAATTATACTGTACCTGTAGATGTTTATTTTTAAATACACATCTTTTTAATATCCAGTGCTAACTCCAAGCTGTTATTACTCAGTCTTTGCTCTGTATTAATCTCTAATTACCCAGTAAATATTTAACATTTTGGACCTAAACACCATGTAATCATTGAATAGTGTATATAGTCTAGTAGTGTATTACTTCAATATAATTAAAATAAAAATAACTTTTTTCTCTTGACCTAATTAAGTTTCTCACCTACCAGCCAATTATTTATAATTAGCTATTATAGATACAATAATTTATACTTTTATATTCTCATATAATAATTATTAATATTTATATGTTTAGTACAATATTTACAAAACCTACTTTATGTATGAATCCAAATAATGTGACTTAAAGGGCTATGTTTTAAGCGACCTTTGCCCAAGCTGCTGTGTATAATATGGGCTTTGCATAATTATAACTAATGTACATTAATTCTTGCATTATTGTTAATCTGTTATTTTGCAGATTGGACTCTTCTATGCATTAACAATGATAAATTAATTTTTTATAAAGATCTGGTTGTAAGGTCAGAATTAAACCATTACCAAAGATGTTTTGAATCCCAGATTAGTATAATATTTATATCTAAATGATTTATCTCAATTGTTCTCAAAATTCTTTCATATTCAGTGCATAATTTTCATTACAAATGACTATTATCTGTTGCATCAATTAGCTAAAAGCCGAACCTTGTCATAAATGAAAATTGTTTTAGTACTGTACAGTATCTATACTGTATGTATGTATTTATTTATTTTTTTATTTATATATACAAGATTTCTTACATTCTTGTACAGCCACTAGCATGCATAGCATTTCAGGCAAGTCCTTAATTATAATTTTCACACACACACATCCCCAGGAAGCAGCCTGTAGCAGCTGTCTAATCCCCCAGGTACCTATTTACTGGTAGGTGAACATGTGCATTAGGGTGAAAGAAACTCTGCCCATTTGTTTCTGCTTCCGCCAGGGATCAAACCTGAACCCTTAGGACTACGAACGCTAAGCACTGTCCACAAATCCGTCAGGCTCCAAGGGCCCATTTCCTATACTAACAACGTAGAATTTGTTGCTAGTCATATATCTTGACTGGAGATGGCACATCTTGAGGTCATCTTGAGATGATTTCGGGGCTTAGCGTCCCCACGGCCCGGTCCTCGGCCAGGCCTCCTTTTTGTATTACACCCCCCCACCCTTCCTGGAAGCAGCCCATAGCAGCTTTCCCAGGTACCTGTTTACTCAGTGTATGTTTGTGATCTGTTGTGTGCTCCTTAAATATAAGGTTTCTCATGCTTAAAGATTTTGATCATAAAAGTTCTTGTATGGTATTGATACAGTTCTACATTACTTATTACCTTTACCATTAAAAGGCTGATATGTTAAATCGTTAAAATAAAGGCATACACGTGATTCAGTATACAATAATACTGTATGAATGAACAGCATTTATGTCATTCTTTATTGACATGTAATACTGTATATGAAACATTATATTGTAAGAACATTTAATTGAAAATAAAATGATTTTCATTTAATGAATTGTATTTCTGCTTTTTACAATAAAATTTGGATTGCGTTTTGCTTCTACTGTAGTATCCAACGGATGTATTAACACACATGAAATAAACATTTCCAGCTGTTGGTTCCCTAGTGCAGTGACTTCTGATCATGGTGTGTGTCATCATTTACCCAAGAGTCACCATCACTTCTGATCATGGTGTGTCTCATCATTTACCCAAGAGCCACCATCACTTCTGATCATGGTGTGTCTCATCATTTACCCAAGAGCCACCATCACTTCTGATCATGGTGTCTCTCATCATTTACCCAAGAGCCACCATCACTTTTGATCATGGTGTGTCTCATCATTTACCCAAGAGTCACCATCACTTCTGATCATGGTGTCACCCATCATTTACCCAAGTCACCATCACTTCTGATCATGATGTCTCTCATCATTTACCCAAGTGTCACCATCATATCTGCTTTTAAATTTGTGGACTGAAATCAATTGAGCTCATGGTTCTCATTTTAAGGAACAAGAAGCATGTTTTGCTTATCAAGGTTGCCATATGCCAAGTACTGACAACCTTCCAAAGGATGCTGAACTCTTGGGTATCTATCTAATTCTAGGTAGAATTAGATAGACATTATGTCGGAGCACACTTGCTGGACCATCCCTGTCTCGACCATAAATCACAGCCAAGATCCTCCCCTGTGGGCGGAGGATGGCGACTACCTTACTTCTACCGTCTCATCTACTTCATTCAATTTCCCCTACTACTACTGCATTACTCTTCTTTTTCATCATTATGGCTCATTTGTGTTTGTAAGTTCCATCTATATCTTCTCATTCTAGTGCCATTCATTCATTGTAAATATTTTCTCCTGGCTTGTTAAGTATTTGATGTATATATTATTTCCCCTTTTTCCTATTTCCCGCCTCGAAAGTTACAGGTTCCTTGATGTTTCTTTACACCACATCCCACTTAGTTCATGGACCTGCCTCATTGCAAACATTGGTACTCCTCTCAGGCTATATTACAGTAATGGGGATATTGAGGAAGCAACTTCATGCTAATGCTGCATACTTGAGGACTGGTCTCTGGTAGGTGATGTGTAGTGTTCTGATGCTTCGTGAAAGCTGTCCTGATGGTTGCCAGAGTATGCGGGTGTTTGTTTAGGAGGGAAAAGTTGACTTAAATACAATAAAAAAAAATGGCTCGAATACAAGTCAAGTGGCTTGAAATACTTGGTTTACAAATACAAGTCACTTTGAGTGACTTGTATTTGTAATGTGTGATAAAGGTGTCATATGAATTTTATATTTCTCAAGTTTAGTTTCCACAAATCTTATTCCAAGTTTCTGCAGAAGACTACATAAATATATATTGTGCAGATACCATCATGGGGTAGGTAGTCGGGACCGGACCACCAAATGACACCTATGCTACCGTAAATGTAGAGAAGGAAAATTATACACTGTTACTACAAATATCAAATTTTCTTAATCTTGATTTATTGTGTAAAATACATAAACAAAAACTAGCATATTTGAGCTTAATGTTTACCATGAGTGGTACATGTAATGACAATGAGGCTGTCCCCGTTTTATACTATGTTGATTCATACTGTTGTAATGAGGCTCAAACTGTACCGGTAAATTATATTTAAATTTTTATCCGTAATTGTTAAAAATGGGTCTCGAGTAGAGACTTGTGGAAGTGTATCACACATGCTTTGGGTTGTCAGTAGGGACTAAAAATAAAGATGTTTATCACTGGCTCAGTACTTGTATCAAACTGTTTGTAAATATTTATGAACAGTCATGACAGACATGGAAGGAGATCTTGGTAACGAGACTGGTCGCAAGTGGTGGGTTGCTGGTGCGTTTTAATGCATACAGACGAGGAAGAGAAAGATGACGGATGTTTGGTAGTGGTGCTGTTGTGGCTACAGAGTTTACTTCTGCTGCCATCGCATCACCTGTTACTGCTGTCACTGTTGCTTCTATTACTGGCGCTTGTAGATACGCTTCGACACCACACCATCACACTCTGACAGCTTAAAAAATTATGTTGTTAGTTTATTTGCCACCATTATTTAAAAATAAGAGTTGTCAGCTTTTTCACATACCACAATGAATAGAGCAACATCATCAGTGGCGTAACAAATTATCAGACACATTATGGCACAGATAACAGGAAAGCTGTAGGTAAAACATATTACTAGATCTTAACTTTATATTGAAATGAACATTTCTTTAGATGTGATGTCAGTGAACATGCTGTAAAGATTTACCAAGTGGGGATGGGGGTCATTGAGGAGGACTTATCAGGGAAAAATAAGAAATTATCAGGGGAAAATGCCAAGCCATTACGAATATATAGCACTTGGAAGGGGATCAGGATAAGGATTTGGGATGTGACGGGTGAAAGGAATGATGTTCAACCACTTGGGCGGTCGGGGATTGAACGCGGACATGCATGGATTTACCAGGGAATGCTTGAGGAGGACATGCCAGTGGATGCTAAAGCAGGACATAACAGGAAGTCCTTAAGGAGGGCTTACCAGGAGGTACTGGAGTACTTACCAGGGGATGCTTGAAGAGAACATACAGAGGGAGGTTTGAGGAGGATTTACTGGGAGGTTCTTGAAGACATACAAAAAGGTGCTTGAGAAGGACATACCAGACGATACTTTAGGAGGATTTAAAAGGTGAAACCTGAGGAGAACTTTGTAGGGAGGAAACTGTAATAGGAACTTAAGGAGGCTATAAAAGAATAAGCCTGAAGTCAACTTACCATGATCATCTGTGAGTCGGTGAACTCCCTTGTGTACTTAGCACTCTTGCCCTTGGTGGCATTCTGCACCTGGATCAGCTTGTCTCCTTCCAGCGTGAACACCGTCTGTGGCAGACCAACAGTGTCTTAGAATTGGACAGGTGATGCATGTACTGTACTAGTTATTAATGTGCTGGATATTGCAATACTGAGTAAAAGACTACTGCATTTGCTTTCTGGAAAGCAGATACAGATATAATGAGTATGAAACTACCATTAACCTCCTAACTGCCCACCCTACATTAGCTTAGTTTCTTGATGAGTACAGGTATAACAAAATTAAAGAGAAAATATTTTTTCTTTCTATTTTCTAAAACATTGCTTTCTGATGTTGGGAAAATACAAAAATATTATTATAATAATTTTAATTTAGCCTTAGTGAGATGAAATATTAATGGCATCATATTCTGCACAATTATTTTCAAGTTAACTATTTGTAATAGATTTCTTCTCATCGTTAATATCTTCCAGGTCCATAAAACGTCTTCAAAATTTTGCGTCAATGTTCCCCAGCATGGACCCGAGTCAGGGGATGGTGATGCACCTGACATGGTGCCCATCATTATACTCTACTAATGGCCAGGATGGAAACTAAGGCTTTTAGGAGTGTTTCCAATATGGCAAACTACTATGAAGTCTGAAAGGTGGGGAGGGGGGGGGGGAGGATTTGCTTTTGAATCGAGTTTGTTTTACCTGTTTTTCACCTGTTTTTCAGTTGTCAACACATACAACATAACCACAACATTGCATGTTGACCAGACCACACACTAGAAGGTGAAGGGACGACGACATTCTGGTTCGTCCTGGACCATTCTCACAATTGACTTGAGAATGGTCCAGGACGGACCGAAACATTGTCGTCCCTTCACCTTCTAGTGTGTGGTCAGGTCAACATACTTCAGCCACGTTATTGTGACTCATCGCCTGCACAACATTGCATCTAAGTAACAATTTTAAAATTATAATTGTGGTTACAGTGTGTATTTGATGGGATGTTTATACTGCATGTTTTGAGGGATGAAGAATGGGAACTGTTAGGAGAAAGCAACATGCCAATACGACTATATATCATTTGGAAGGGATCAGGATAAGGATTTGAAATGGGATGGTGGAAAGGGGGATGGAGGAATGGTACCCAATCACTTGGATGGTTGGGGATTGAACGTCAACCTGCAAGAAGTGAGATCGTAGCTTTACCGTCCAGTCAATGTGGTTGGGCACTGGGAGGGAGAGACAGCCACATACTATATCTAGTAACAAATATAAGAGAAAATAGCTCAGGAGTCAATACATTAGACAACTAATGCTTATAAACACCTCTGTAAACACAAACAGATGAATAAACAGCACATGCAAATGTACACACAACGGAACTGAAATACAAGAGTAATGAGGAGAGACTTATAGAGGCATTAAACGTGCCAAAACTAGAAGTTAGAAGAAAAAGAGGTGATATGATCACCGCTTACATACTAACAGGAATCGACCAAATTGACAAAGAGAAATTCCTAAAACCAGCAACTTCACTAGCAAGAGGAACGCAGATTCAATCTGAGGAAACAGGTGCCGAAAAAATATTAGAAAGTTTTCTTTTGCAAAGACAGTGGTAGATGGTTGGAACAAGCTAAATGAGAAGGTGATGGAGGCCAAAACCGTCAGTAGTTTCAAAGTGTTATACGACAAAGAGTGCTGGGAAGACGGGACACCACGAAAGTAGCTCATCCCGTAACTACACTTAGGTAATTACACACACCCATTACACACTTACCTTACAATCTCGGCCATCGAAAGTGGACTCGTCGACCTCCTGGCCGAGCTTGAACTTGAGTTCAGTGGTCTTCAAGGTGGTGGTCGTCTTGAGGTTCCACTCCCCGTTGTTGTCTATCAGCTCCACCGTCGGCTTGCTCGTCTGACCCAGCTTCCTCAGCATCATGCCCACACCTTGGTGAGTACAACTAGGTGAGTATGACCACACACCATAAGAGGCAATGAGTGGTGGTGATGGGGATAGTGAGTGGTGGTGGTGATGGGGTAGTGAGTGGTGATGGAGGTAGAGAGAGGTGGTGGGGGTCCACAGCTTCAAGCTCAAAAAACCACAATGTAGGACAGAAAACAGGAGATGTTTCTTCAAACAGTTCACAGGGTTATAGACCCATGGAACTGCCTACCCGCCAAAGCCATAAGTGCCAAAACGCCACTGAACTTTAAAATCCATCTTGGAACACATTATCAGGACAAATGGAGGGACTTTCGACAAGCCACTGGCTTCCTGTCCTCATTGAGGCCACTAGAGTGCTAGTGGTCCTCAGGTAAATTCAGATAATTACTCAAACACTTCGTGAATTAATAGCTTTATATACAGTAATATTCAATTTCAATTACAATTACAATTTTAAACTACAATTACAATTACAAAATTAAAATATACAATTTTTGTACATGATAGTTAACTACCGTAACATGTTCTTTTGTGTAGTTTATTAATAATAATAATAATAATAATACAGTAGTAATTTGGTTGCTAGGCGACGATAGGCTTAGACCAACACTGACAGGATGGGTGTGGGGGTCCACCACCACCCACAGGATGGGTGTGGGGGTCCACTACCGTCCACAGGATGGGTCTGGGGTCCACCACCATCCACAGGATGGGTGTGGGGGGTCCACCACCGTCCACAGGATGGGCATGGGGGTCCACCACCGCCCACAGGATGGGTATGGGGTCCACCACCATCCACAGGATGGGTATGGGGGGTCCACCACTGTTCACAGGATGGGTATGGGGGTCCACCACCACCCACAGGATGGGTATGGGGGTCCACCACCACCCACAGGATGGGTATGGGGGTCCACCACCACCCACAGGATGGGTATGGGGGTCCACCACCACCCACAGGATGGGTATGGGGGTCCACCACCACCCACAGGATGGGTATGGGGGTCCACCACCACCAAAAGGATGGGTATGGGGTCCACCACCGTCCACAGAATGGGTATGGGGGTCCACCACCGCCCACAGGATGGGTATGGGGGTCCACCACCGCCCACAGGATGAGTATGGGGGTCCACCACTGTTCACAGGATGGGTATGGGGGTCCACCACCACCCACAGGATGGGTATGGGGGGTCCACCACCACCCACAGGATGGGTATGGGGGTCCACCACCACCCACAGGATGGGTATGGGATCCACCACCGTCCACAGAATGGGTATGGGGGTCCACCACCGCCCACAGGATGGGTATGGGGGTCCACCACCGCCCACAGGATGAGTATGGGGGTCCACCACTGTTCACAGGATGGGTCTGGGGTCCACCATCACCCACAGGATGGGTCTGGGGTCCACCACCACCCACAGGATGTGTATGGAATCCACCACCACCCACAGGATGGGTATGGGGGTCCACCACCACCCACAGGATGGGTACGGGATCCACCACTGCCCACAGGATAGGATGGGGGTCCACCCACCACTCACAAGGTGGATATGGGGTCCACCGCCACCCACAGGATGGGTATGGGATCCACCACCGCCCACAGGATAGGATGGGGTCCACTACCACCCACAGGATGGGTATGGGATCCACCGCCACCCACAGGATGGGTATGGGGTCCACCACCACCCACAGGATGGGTATGGGATCCACCACCACCCACTGGATGGGTATGGGATCCACCACCACCCACAGGATGGGTATGGGATCCACCACCACCCACGGGATGGGTATGGGGGTCCACCACCACCCACAGGATGGGTATGGGGGTCCACCGCCACCCACAGGATGGGTATGGGGTCCACCACCACCCACAGGATGGGTATGGGATCCACCACCACCCACAGGATGGGTATGGGATCCACCACCACCCACAGGATGGGTATGGGATCCACCACCACCCACGGGATGGGTATGGGGGTCCACCACCACCCACAGGATGGGTATGGGGTTCCACCACCACCCACAGGATGGGTATGGGGTCCACCACTGCCCACATGATGGGTATGGGGTCCACCACCACCCACAGGATGGGTATGGGGTCCACCACCATCCACGGGGTCCATTATAAATTAACTAGACTGTCACCAGGCAACCAGGGGAACACAGGTACTTGTCTAGCTGTGTACGCCCGCCCACTGGTCATGTTGTACCCGTTGCGTTATAACGGAACTATTCTGACGTTCGAATTGTTTGTAAAGTCTAACTGTGAAGTTGTTGATGGAGGTGGCTTCCGCTAGTTCTTTCAGTGTGTGGCGAGTATAAACAATATAATCGCTCCAAACTCATTAGCACTAATGATATCACTCATACCTTTTCCTTAATTATAGTTATCATTCCTTCCAACCTATTGGAGGATGATGAGATGAGGTGTAGTCCAATCATATAAGCAATTGAGAAGCCAGTAATCATCTCTTCTGCCAAACAGTCACAGAAAAGCCACTACTTCACTATCTCCTGGAATGTCAAGCAACCAACGACCTTATAAGAGCTTCAAGAGTCCCTGAATCTTGCAGTCACCACCCTGAAGCCGTCAGCACTGCCACTCTTCTGGTCAAGAAAAAGGTGTCCAGCAGCGGGAGACCCTCATAAACACAGTCAAGCAGTATCTTGCAGTCACCACCCTGAAGCCGTCAGCACTGCCACTCTTCTGGTCAAGAAAAAGGTGTCCAGCAGCGGGAGACCCTCATAAACACAGTCAAGCAGTATCTTGCAGTCACCACCCTGAAGCCGTCAGCACTGCCACTCTTCTGGTCAAGAAAAAGGTGTCCAGCAGCGGGAGACCCTCATAAACACAGTCAAGCAGTATCTTGCAGTCACCACCCTGAAGCCGTCAGCACTGCCACTCTTGTGGTCAAGAAAAAGGTGTCCAGCAGCGGGAGACCCTCATAAACACAGTCAAGCAGTATCCTCCCCCGCACTAGCAGCCTGACGATTTAAATGCGACCTCAGAACACAGTATACATTCATTAAAAAATAACAAAAATAAAATCTAACACTTACGGGCTATTCATGCCCGTGCCACCTCCTGGTTGGCTAAATCGAGTAATCATCAGTACAATTTCCAGTGATTCAGTTAACTTCAGCACAGACGCTTCGGAGTTACCACACACCTTCAATCACAAGAATGTAGCACTCGGTGTATGCAGTTCTAACCGACCCCAAGATGCTCCAGCTTCGACACAGAGCAGACAGTAGACTAGAACCGCATCGAGCTCCCACGCTCTCAGCCGCATCGAGTTTAGACACTCTCCGTCCCCCATCGAGCCTCCACGCTCGCCCGCATCGAGCTCCGCTACTGCGGCCTCACTCAGCTCTCACCTCTGCTCCAAACTCCGTCTCAACGTCTACGACATTGCTGTAACCAAGACTACTAAATAAATATCAAAACCCCACTAAACACTGTATCTAATCTACTCAACAACGTAACATAATCGTATGTTACAAGTGTGCTATCTTGGTTTGGTGTTGGGGTTAAGGCCTCTCAACCTCTGTAACGGGTTATTAAAACCACCACAATAGCCTATTAATCACCTTACAATTAGAAACTGTACTTGTGGTCAGTCTCGAGCCCATTGTTGATGTGACGATGTGCATTGAATTTTGTAACTAGCTCATCAAGATTGTAACTTGCTCAGCTAAATGAGTTGTGGCGTTCAGTCCCTGAGCCCATTATGTACCTCTGTAACCATTCCCCGTGGTGAAGTGGTTAAGTTACTCACCTAGCGTTTCGCGAGCGCTTTGTCCTGGGTTCGTATCCCGGTCTGGGAGGATTTACTGAGCGTCAGTCCTTAATTGTAGCCTCTGTTTACCAAACAGTAAAATGGGTACATGGTTGTTAAACGATTTGGCGGGTCGTATTCCGGGGAATATTAGGATTAAGGGACTGGCCCGAAACGCTATGCGTGCTAGTGGCTGTACAAGAATGAATGAACTCTTGTACAGTAGATATAAAAAAATAACGCTTTCCACTACCGCCCTCATGATGGGTATGGGGTGCATAGTAAATGAACTAAACTAAACTCCTGAACATAGTTGAGGACTGAAGTCTGTATATAGACCAAGAAGCAGGGTACACATCCCTGTGTATATATCCCTGTGGAGGTGTCGGCAACCTTGTCTGCCAGGGTGAGGGGAAGGGGGTCCAGGGTGAGAGGAAGGGGTCCTGGGTGAGGGGAAGGGGTTCTGGGTGAGGGGAAGGGGTCCAGGGTGAGAGGAAGGGGTCCAGGGTGAGGGGAAGGGGGTCCAGGGTGAGGGGAAGGGGTCCAGGGTGAGAGGAAGGGGTCCAGGGTGAGGGGAAGGGGTCCAGGGTGAGGGGAAGGGGTCCTGGGTGAAGGGGAAGGGGTCCTGGGTGAGGGGAAGGGGTCCTGGGTGAGGGGAAGGGGTCCAGGGTGAGGGGAAGGGGGTCCAGGGTGAGGGGAAGGGGTCCGGGCAAGGGGTCCAGCTCCCCGGATGTAAACACCGTGTCAGTCATGGCGCCGCGTAAACAAACTCCCGCCACGTTACTGGGAGGTGAGTCACCTACGCTGTCTTCTTCTCGTTTGTCTTCAACTTCCGCGCCTCACCTTTCACGTCCATAAGAGCAGACATGTGCAAAACATATGCCAGGATCCTCACTAAGCTCGGTTGCAGAAGTACAGGTTCCTGCAGGAAGCGCCGGACCAACCGGTTGTGATGATGATAAGGATCATGTTGATTTAGGGAAAAGTACACATATACGAAATGAGTTACAAGTGGGCCTGCGGGCCGCTCCAAGCAAGCCTGGAGCGGCCCGCAGGCCCGCAGGTCCAGCAGGTTTGGGCCTGCTGGACCAAACTATCACAAATCAAGCCTGGCTCCAGGCCAGGTGTAGAGACACTGGCAGAACCTGTTTCAGGTATACTCCAGCTATACGTAACTGGTATTATTTATATATATATATATATATATATACACAAGAAGGTACAT